GGTTCATGTTTTTTTAAAACACATCGGTACTTCATATTCAACAGTGAACATTAGTAATTTAAAAGGTGGGACAAAGCATAGACATCCTAATCTGCCAGTTTGTCGAATGCACTAGTCATTGATGAGATTATGACAGGCGCAGGTAGTACCCAGGGCCAATTCTCAAGATATGTTGGCTATCTTCACTAGCCAACTTGTTGGCTTCTATATAGTGCATGCCTTAAATACCTTAAATAACATTCTTTCCCAGCTTCTAAATGACCGTGTTTTTGTAAACAAAGAGCTAAGTGGTCCGACTCGTCATTTCCGGTCACTTCTACCATAAATGATAAATATCGTCTTCTCCAAATCAGGAAAGGTTGTCAGAACTATATCGGTCACTTGGGGGTGCCCGCGCACAAAGGTCCTACTCTTATAAAAAAAAATGTGGTCCTAGAATATCATCCTCACTTTCTAAAATGGGTTTGGAATTTTTTCATAGTTTCCTTCAATGAGCCTTTAACTTCGTTTTTACCAAACAAGATTTATTTTCATTAATAAGTGGCACTCTAGTTTTCAGTCGAAAGGCTGCCCGATCTCTAATCGTGTAAGGAGAGTGTCTGGTTCCGATTTTGGGGTCATTTCTGAGTGGCAATGCTATATGTTCAGACACATGGGCATGACATCTTCAAAGACCAACTATCGGCTCTCATGTACACAACTGTGACCCTTTTGGGTGGTTCTATTAACTAGCATAAGCAAGTTGTCCCATTTGAGGGTGGGGTGGGGTGGGGGGGGGGGGGGGGGGGGGGGGGGGGGGCGGAGGTTTGAATGTCACTGATATTCCAATCACACATTCTTTCGTAAGTGGGATTTTGCGTAAAATGTACTTAAGGAATAACCATAATGCATTGTTTTTAGACCTGTTCAGATTTAGTGAAATAGTACTTGCACAATGTGCACGGAAGGACACAATTGAGTTATGACCGGTTCTTCTCAATATCCAATCATCACATGAACATCTTTTTTTAAACATGTTATTAATTTCAACTAAAAGGTGCGTGCTAAACTTAAATATTTATGTTGCATAACGCTCTCAAAATTAGAGAAAAGTATTAATTTAAAAAGGGGTGCCAACTTTGTTGAATATAACAATTAGTTACTTGACCATAGCATTCAATAGAAGGTATAACGAGTCTTCCTGATTAACCAATACTTATTTATTTTATTTATATCAAATGGCAGGCGATTTGATAGTTATCATTAGCCCTGGAGCTGACTTCGGGGCTTCATGAAGAGGAGAAGGGACATCAAAGTGACAAAAAGTCGAGATGGGAGACAGAATAATGATTCACAGAGGTAAAAGAGACAGACAGACAGACACAAAGGCATAAAAAAGGTAAGATGAGTATCGTGTGAGGGGTCGAATATGAAAAATAGTCGGGCCATAGAAATTTGAAGTCAGAAGTCAACTGCCGATCAATAGACTTTTTTGCCGTATGAGTATACGTTGCCCAGGGTGCACCACGTGGAGGTAAGTCTATTGAGCACCCCGATTAACTAATACCGACCAATAGAAACTGAGTGACGTAGACAACTATTTGACGGACACCAGGGGACAAATCATGAGAATTGAATTCGGACACGTGAGAAAGCTGTCTGTAAAGGAAGTAAGAGTTCATGGTCTCCCCCCCCC